TGATGAAAAAATTCAATTCACGATGGAATTAGATCAAGGTGAGTGGCTACCGCTCCTGGACGTTGAATTGATTAGCTCTAATGGGACGCTCAAAAATAAATTGTTTAAAAAGAAGTCCTATGCTGGGATAATACTCAATTTCTGGTTCCATTACAATTACAGGTTAAGGATAGGAATAATGAGGGGCATGATCGTCCGAATCCTGGGACGAGGAGCTGGACAAATTGACTAAGATATTTCTCGGCAATGGCTACCCTAGCAAAGTAATAGATGGACCGTGAAAAGCCGATGGCAGAATGGGGACTATGAAAGAACAGTAAGGACAATGAAGGATTCACAAATGTGGATATGCCTACCTTCTTGTGTATTAACTCAAAAACTACGGCCAATATTTAGGAAATGGAATATTCGAGTGGCCATGAAAGAGAAATCAACACTTCTCACAAGTCTACCGACGCAATATGAAAGGGTAGATAAATTGGATTGTTCAGGAGTTTACTGTATATCATGCGGCGCCTGCAAACAGAAATATATTGGCGAAACGGAGAAAAATTAGCTCACGAATCAAGGAACATCAGAGGCTCTGCAGGAAAATGGATACCGAAAGATCAGAACTAGCGGAACGCATCACACATACTGGACACGAGATGATTTGGAAGAAGACAGAAAGAAGGGCCAAGTACGGTGACCACACTAGGAAGCGGAAGATTAGTAAGGCTATTGACATCCTTGTGGGGAAAGATCTAATGAACAGGATATTGGAGGAAGGTAGAGTTAGCGATAACTTTGCCTACTGTTTAAGCAAATTCGGGGAAAACAAGAATAAAGCAAGACCAGCAAAAAAGAGACGCCTGGATCAAGGATCTATTGCTAAAAGAAGGAAAAGGGATCGAGATGGGGAAAATGGGGGGCGGGAGTTTTCGGCAATCAAGCGAAGACGTCAGTGATTGATGTCCGTTTCGAATAAACAAGTACAACTTGAGTGCCTGGCAGTCAGGGAGACTAGCAGATGGATAAGCAAACCGTCACAGAATTTCGGCGTTATGGTCAAAATGTACTAGAAATCCACTTGAGATGTCGCATGCGACCAGAGACAGGCGTCCATAGTTTGCTCAGTTAACAAAGGTTTAATCAAGGAGACGATGCGTGAAGGGATTGCCTGATATCTGCAAGCATATGGATCAGAGCTTAGACGCTTTACTCGGTAAGGCGGCAGTGTACGTGCTTCAATAGCCTTGAGAAGTAGCGCCTGGAGTGAAATGCATACTGGGACTAGAACCGAGTGAAATCGATCAACCAGAAAGATAAGGAACAGATCTACGAGGCAATGAGCGAGATCAGAATAGGAGGCTCGAGTTGGATTAGCTGATCAAAAGAGAGTGGGTCCGGGTGAACAGCAGTTGGGATGAGGCCACATTAGATTTGCCACAAAAGAGCACACATTTTGACAAATTGAATGTAAAGAAGTGAGAATTTGTGAGGAGTTGGATAAGAGGGTAAAGAGTAGATAGATAGGCCATGACAGAAAGGGGAGTTATAGTGTAAGCGTTTTCGGCAGAACGTTTGTCGAGGGATTGACTTCACTTGTCTCTTTAACGAGTTCGTGGCTTGGTGCTGAGAATGACAAAATTCACTGATGATGCCGACTACGATGCCGGCGAAACGTTTGAGAATGAAACAAGTCAACTGTCTGATGCTGGGAATCATGACAACTACTATGGCAGACGACTTCGGACTAGGTGCGTTCTACTAAGTACCCTGACAACAAGAACAAGTTGCGACGAGGTCAACCCACTTCTTATTATTAGTTTGATTAATCGGGTTAGAGACTCTTTTTCTGATTCGTTCCGTTTCTAGGATATCATCTTTTTCCAACATCTCCAGTACTGCCGCCAGTGCATTTTCTCATGAGATTTTGGTTTAGATGGACTATAATCAAAGCTCACTAAAAGTTCGTTTCCCTCCAAACTGGTGCCTTTGTTTCCTTGTCAAAATTAATATGAGTTCTCTCATTGACTTTCTTAAATTTGAAGCAGATAGATTTTGCCAGCTTAGCTGTTTGTCCGTCTTTATCGTTGACTATCGGTCTCAACGGTTTTCCTTCTTTGTGTTCCTTCGACAAGCCGTACGCCTCATAGAGGTTGTTTGACCTTGTTTTCGCAACATGATCATATTGGTTGGAAGACTTAGAGGAACGCACTAGTCCGGAGTCCATTGTCTGCATGATCATTTCCAAAGTTGGACCGTTGACATGGTACATTTCCAAACGTTTCGTCGGCATCGTAGTCAGCATCGTCAGTAAGTATCGCCATTCTTAGCACCACACAACAACTCATCAAAGCGACAAGTGAATCTGAACCGTTGACCAAACTTGTGTTAAACAATTGTGGTATCTCCCATTCTGTCCTGGGTTATTCACGTTTCCGGTAGCATCCTATCATGCCTTCACTATCACAATTTTTACTGTGTTTTTTAG